CAGCTGTTATCAGGAGACATTACTGGTTACTTGGTTTTTGTTATGGAAGAAGCTATTTCTCTAGTCTTGTTCAGTTTCTACTAAAGCCTAGTTGCCAATTACCAGTCATGTTCTCTGGCCTCAAATAGTCCTTTGGCCTAGGCTTCATCCAGTGAGCTATCATCTGCTAATCAAGGACCTTTTCAGGACAGAGACCATGGCTTTATCAGACTGCTTGCATCCCTCTGAAGCAGTCCCCATTGACACCATGTCCTAAGAGCCAATGGCTACAGATTTGGGCAGTGGCCCTTTAAAGGATACAGTGTTCCTTGGAGAAAGCAGTGTGATGGTGGTGGTTGCTGTTGAATTAATTTCTCTATTGCCCAATAGCTGAGGCTCTCTGGGCTATTAAAAATAGGTGAATCCTAGGTCCAGACAAGACTTCAGCTCCTACATGTTGCTGAGACAACTGTTCCCTGAGTTTCAGCCAGTAAATGACAATGACCTGTCCAAAATCTCACCTGGCCTGACCAGGAGAGACTTTGCCTGGCCCAGTATTACCAAATGAGTAATATTGGATTCTACTGGATGCAACCCTGTTTACCAAATATGATCCAGTACCTCCACCACAACCCAATGTCCCATGGGAGCCTTGTGGGGGAATTGGACAGGACTTGTGTTGCCTCTACCACAGTTAGTTCACCCAGAATGTCCTATAGGACCTGACCTGAAGTACTCCGTCTGTTCAGGAACTCACTGGAAGCATACAGTGTTTTTAAAATGCTCTTATCTCTATGTCCCTCTATGTCACAACTTATCAAGATAAATAATCTGGTAATAGCAGGCTTGCTTCACTTTCTCCTGAAGTTTTCCTTCTGGCCAGGTCATCAGTTCCTCTGTTGATTTTTTGCTGCCTCTTAAGACCAATTGCCAAGACTTTCTGGCCAGAAGCCCTTCTTCAGATCTGCCTTCTAGGATTTTGCCATTTTTCTCTTGTTTGCCTAAACTAACCAACCTCCTCTGACAGGTTAGGTCAGACCAATAAACTGGTAACACAGTGTTCACTCTTATTTCATCAACCTAAATTTATGAGCCAATGAAACTAAAATGTTAACTGTTCTGTCAAAAGTGGACTAACTTGAATTTGCTTACCTGTACATCAAGACTTGATCCTCCTTGCTTCCTTATGTTATCGTGTTCTTTGTATTTCTTTTGACCTCTGTTGTTTCTTCCAGCACCAGGAAACCTTTCCATCAGCTGCAGTAGAACAGTGGTACCATTTATAAATTGCTGGTTCGGAATCTGTCCACCCTCATCCCCTTGTAAAGCTATCTCTGCTTTTAAACCTGTAGAGAAGACAAAATCCAGTCCAATATACTCAGTATTTTAGGTTGCAACCTTATACCAAGTTATGCTGGTTATGGGACCAAAAAACATGGCAGCTGCCTACCGGCTGGATCAGTACCAAAAAGCTAGGGCTTCTCCTGCAATCCAGCTGGTCTTAGAATACGCTGCCACTGTAGAAGGTAGAGCAGCAATGACCAGGGGCCTCTGGGCTATTCCTCTGTGGTGTTGTTAACTTGTTCCTGGGAAACTCTACTGCAGATAATTATGCAACAGATGATGAGCGCTTAGCACGGAGCTAGAACTAGAGTCATGAATGCCCTGCTATGTTGCTGCCTGTTAAGCCACTACGTGAGGCACAGAAACCCTTATGCAGGCAGTGGTTGGCAACACCATAGATGCGCCTTTTCCTTTCACCCTCTCCTCCATCCAGAAGCCTTCAATAAAAGACGGCGTGTGGGGTTTCTTTGTTGCTAGGGACTGGAAGGTAGAGGCCTGCTCGTCCTAATGTGATCTGGCTTCAGCTGGCCTCAGGACAGAATTCTGGAGGGGTTGACAAACTGTGGGCTAGTGGATCAGGCCCATGACTGCTCCACTCTGCTCACTCCGGTTCGTTCCATTGTGAAGGAGCAGAGGATAGCAGTGCGGGAGTGTTGTTGCCAGGCGCATGAGGTGGGGACAAAGAAGGATGCAAATACATAGATTGCCAGGTGGAAGAATAGGGTAAAAAGGTTGCTTGGCCAATGCAAGAGATGCCTAGTGGACCACACAGCAATCCATTGAATGAGGATCTCTCTGCACCTTTTCTAGTATGCACTGTGTTCTAGATTTGAATCTACAACCTCCTGCATGTGAGCACTGCACTGTTCCACCAAGCTCAGGCTCCCCTTGCAGCCCAGGTGGACCTGAGGCCGGAGGCTGGGGCAAAAGCAAGCACACTGTGGTGCACCTGATGCGCCTGCTGCAGTGAGGATATAGTTAAGGAACAGTTTGCCTAGGTTTGTCTTTTGGGTCTGAGGGCCAGGACTTCCCTCTCCTTTGCTTATCATGTGCCTTCTTTACAGCAGGCATGCAAAAGGCAAAGGGGGCCATTTCTCCAGCCTTTCCTCTGGTGGAACTTGATTTGTTTCAGTATCTGATCCTGGCCATCCATATGCATCACACCTCAGCCCATTTGTGCAATGACAGCTTCAGGACCAGCTGGGGTGACATGTTTTATTTAAAATGTTCCCCGACATTCTTATGGTATAACTTTTTAAAATTTACTGTATAAATCATGTGCAAGCTTTGCAACTAGGCTGCTTTGAACAGCCTAGCCATTTATTTTAATCACATATTATTGGAAGGATATTTTTTTAAAAATGTATATTCTGGTACTTGTACTTTTATTCTCACTTCACAAATGAGTAGCTAAAGGTTAGAGTAAGTCATCATATAAGTGAGTTAGCCAAACAAATATTCATATATAAACAGAGTACTGCTCTGGTCTCTTTTATTTTTCTTGGTCTTCTTGGGCCTCATTGCATCAAAGGTCACATTTGTTATTTTACATACACTGTTTTCATTTATTGGTGATGAGGAAAATAAGAAGCCTGGGCAAATGTTACGTTATTGACTGGATTCAGGTAAAACATTCAGCCCTTGCGTGGCACTCTTGCATTCTCCCCACTAACCTCCCTTTCATACCCTTCTGCCAGATTTACCTTTCCCTGGCTGCTTTAAGGATTAATTCGAGCCACTTCTACAAAGCCTCTTCAGTCACCTGCTTCCATCCGCCAGTCACATGACCTATTTGGTGTCAGATTGTGTGATCCCTCTGGCTCCACAGAAATGAGTCCAATTCTTCTGAGGAAAGCCAATATCTTGCATGTAAACCAGCTTTTCAACAGACGAATTCTAAGCCCACCAGGCAGGAATGCCTGGATCCATGTGAGCTGCTGGGCTGTGGAAGGAGCCATGAATCTATATGTGACCCATAAATAATCCATTGCTGAGCTTAACTCTAAAATAGTCATGAAAATAGAAGCATTTTAACAATCAGGCAGTCAACAAATATACTACAAAGAAAGAAAGAAAGAAAGAAAGAAAGAAAGAAAGAAAGAAAGAAAGAAAGAGAGAGAGAGAGAGAGAGAGAGGGAGAGAGAGAGAGAGATGCAGGATTAAAAATATAGCAGAGGCTTTAGTACTTTACAGGTAAATCCATACAGGAGTTTATTCCACTGAGTTTTGTTTTTCTAACTGTCATGATGCCATCTAGATGCAACGCATTTCAGAAATGCTTGAAGTGTGGTTTGAAAGCTATTTTCCTCCTAATTTTTCTTACTGTTGTCTTTATGCACTTTTACAATCCCATAAAAATGGTGTTGTGATCTGTAGACTGATGTATTTTCTGACTGTGAAACGAAATGTAATAAATCAGATTACAGATTACAGGTAGAGACAGCGGTGGCTGCAGTCTCTTAGCAACTTAATGAAAGACCACTGAAACCCCTTCCTTTTCGTGTGCCGGTGAAACCAAAATGAAAGAACTTCTCCTGAACCTTGCTGGCAAACGCTACGCAGGTAGTACACGGTGACTGGACTGCAATGATCTTCCACTTTTTCCTTAAACATTTGTCAAATTAGCTAGACTTTGCAAAGCTAGACTTTGCAAATATTTATGCAAGCGTCATTTCCTTGCAGCAAGGTCTTGAATTACAGTGGGGAGGCAGGGCCCAGGTTCCTTAAGCTTTTCTTGGGGCCCCTTAGAGACTGCAGGTGGCAGGGACCCGGACTTAGGAATTCGAGGTTATTATACAGAGCTTCCTACGTGCCCTCCCCATAATTAGTGCAAGGTTCCATTCCTCTGTCAACATGCAGAAACAGTGGCTTCCCCTAAGCTAGCCATCCCTCGCCTGGGGTGCTCCAGATGGGTTCACCCGCAACACCCACAGCTGGGGAGGAAGGGGGTTGTAGTTCGAAGCATCTGGAGGGCACCGAGAAGGCGAAGGCTCGTTTCGACGTTCCTGATTTCAAGCAGACAATGGTAGAATCGGCTCAACAAGCAGGAACGCCTACAGATGAAATGAAGGTGTGGCCGCCACCTCGTTCTTCTGCCGGCACGAAGGCAGAGCGCTTGCGTTGCCCAGCTCACGGCAACAGACACGTGGGAAGCCGGGGAAATGCGCTTAGGCGCACAAGGCAGCCGTTTGAATGCCTTCCTGCGTGCGTGGGTTGCGGGCACCCCACAAGGCTGCGACGATCCCGCCGACGCGTCCTCCCAGGGGCGAAATACGGCGTGGGCATATCCCCCTCCGTTAGATCTGAAGCGGCGCCCGCACCGGAAGCCCCAGGCGCGATCCGCGCGGCTTTTGCGCCGTGGGGGGGGGGCTGTAGCGGCAGCCCCCGCTCGGGCTCCGTACAAAAGATTTCCCCCGGGGCAGATGGTCTCCGCCCCGAGGGCCACCTGCGAGGGAGGAGGCGGGCCGCCGGGCCGCGCGAGCCAAGCTTGGCTCCGTAGCCTCGCAGGTCTCGGAGAGGCCGAAGCTCTGCGCTCGCCTTGCTGAAAGCGGCCAGAGAAAAGCCAAGGCGTGTGCCGGAGCGTCTCTGCAAAGGAGGGCGAGCCCACACAGGAGGCGGGAAGAGCAGCGCGGGGAGGAGGCGCCCCCGCCGCCGGGGAGGGACCGGCTAGATGCGCGGCGGGAAGTGAAGGTCGTGCTCGTGCCCATTCATTCTCCCTCCCGCTCCGCCGCCCGGTTTTAATTGTCTCCAAGCCCCGGAAAGAAAGAGCGCGCCCTGCTCGCCCGAGTCCGGCGCTAAGAACCGGCGAGGCGCTTTCTCTTGCCGAGCCCGCATCTGCCGGAGAGAGAGAACGAGCGGGAGAGCCGCTCTAACAAAGGACAGCGGCGGCGACCCTTCCCAGAAAGCACCGAAGGCGGGGCGCACGGCCGAGGCTCCTTCGGCTGAGATCCTCTCTGGTACGGACACGGCGGGGAAAAGAAGAATCGGTCGGATTAACAGGTAGGCTAGGCAACCGGGAGCAAGGAAGGCCTTTTCCTCGCCGCAGCTGGGAAGGACGCGTGGCTGGCCGATGGGGGCTTCCTCAAGCCCCGCTTTTGTTAGGCGGGCGCCTGGGCAAAGATGAGCCTTAGAATGAATCGTGTGTGTCTCCCTCTGTGTTCATGAAAGGCGCGTGCTTCTTTCCCCGTTTCTTCCTTTCCCTCCGGTGCTTTCCGCCGGCCACCTCGCAGCCGCGTGCAGCGACATCCACCCGCCCATCCATCCCTCGTGTGTGCGCCTTTTTGCAAGCGCAGACGCTGCGCATAGCCCTGTTTTTGATCTGGGCACCCCTTGATCCGGAGCTGGCGAGGAACATTATTGTGCCCGGTCCGAGGAAGAGGCGACCCTACCGCCTGCCTTGAGCTCTTGGCTGTCGGCCAGCCAAAGCGCGTACGGGTCGCTCTCTGCCTCGTTACTGAAAAAGAAAGCGAGCAGAGAGGAAGGAAAGAAAAGGGCGCGTAGGAAAGCGCTGTGTATGACTAAAGTTTCGCCGTGGTGAGAGAAAGAAAAAAACCGCTGGTGAGATCGTAGAGAGAGGAAGGGTAAAGAGAGCGAGCGTGCGATGCAGGCCACGTTACGGAGGATCGAGGTGAAAAGCTAGGCTGCTGCAAAATTAACTAGATCGCGGTTCGCAGCCAAGCGTGCTGGAGAGGCGCGGTGCGGGGGGGGGGGCTGCTGGTTGGGCGGAAAACAGGATGACAGTCTTTGTCCTCGCTTTACGAAAAAAAGGGGAGCCCAACCTGCAGTGTCCCTCCCTGCCCTTGCTTCAGCCCTCGCTGTTGGAATTGCCATTCGGTTTCCCCGACATCCTTTGGAAAGGTGAGAAAAAGAAGTCTTTGGTGGTGGGAGGAAACGAGAATGTGGGCAAATACGAACGTGGCTCGAAGAAAAGAGAAATGAATGAAGTAGGGCATCTGTGTTAGCCCAGTGTAGAGAAGACCTTCTGAAGTTAATGCATCTGCTCTAACTATGACTACCTGGATACTATTCCCCAAGTGGAACATTCTACTATTGGTATTTTGTTTTAAAGTAAGAAGGACAAAAGGTAGAGTGCTTTTTATTTCCTGCTTAGAAACATTTTGTGCAATGGTGTATTTATTACAGTAATAGACGATTTTTCTTTCCTACTTTTTAAAGCCCTCTTTCCAGGCTTGGTTGCAACCCACTCAGATCCAAACAAGGCATGTCCCAATTAAAGATGCTGCAGTTGCTTTAGCAGCAAATTCAAATTTCATTTTTGAGATCCAGAAGTTCAGTTACTCCCCTTTTCTACTCCTTTCTCTAAAGCTCTGCTGGCAACATTTTGTACTATTAATTTTAAAACCATGTTTCATATTTAAAAAAGTAAAATGATTTCATTCATCTTTGCAATGAAATTGAACTGGACTTTCCAGAATGGATTCTGTAGGACATTCCTGGGTGAAGGTATAATTGTACATGGTACATGGTCTTTAAATTAATTTTAACTTTCTTGTTTAACTGAATCAAAAAGTTTTTGAATTTGTGGCATGCCAGGAATGTGGGCCTAGCCCCAGCATGCATCGCTATGATTTCAAGTATTTTTTCCAAGTCTTTGTTTCTACACAAGGAAGCCATTTCTTTTCTTTTTGTGGTTACTGTACATCATGGGGCACCTTTACAATGTAAAGGATTGTCTTCCTTTTAGTTTGCAAAGCAACCTGTTGCTGTCATTTATTGCCATCAAATTAGAATAAAAGTCAGGTATGCAGAAATTATGATTAATATTATTGGGGGCCTTTTGCTGTATGCCCAGGCTGTACCAAGCTCTTCTGCTTATGCTGCATTGGAGGATTTTCTACAGGCCTCTAATTTCCTTGAAAATGCTTACATATTTATGGTGAATTTCACTCTTCATCTTTCAATTTTCCTTTATTAGACTTCAATACAGATTTTACTTTGGGATAAAGTAATAGTTTCAGAGTGAAGCAATGTTTTAAGCCTTTTGTTTGCTTTTTAATACCAGCATTTTGTGCTTAAGGCATATGCTGATGCATTCATGCTTATGCATAAAAACATGACCTGTGGCATTGAGTTATCACAACCTGTCCAGGCAGTTTCAGCTGCCCAAGGAAATACATGTGAGGAATAAGTTCATCAGAGCATGCTTTCTCATGAGTAAGCAACAACTTCCGGGAATGGTTGAGCCAAAATATCCTTAGTTCAGTTATAGTTCTGCTGTGAACTTACTGGATGGCATTTGGCAAACCAGTATCCTTCCTGTCCTAATTGGGAATATTCACATGGGAATAGGAATTTCAGCCTACGCTATTTGACTGCTGGAAAGATGACAGTGTAAAGTGCTTTGGCCACTTAAGAAGTGCAATGCGTGAAGGCAATGTGTTATTCTTAAAATCTCAGCTACTGCTCCAGCTATTTATGGTAAGATGAGGTATCACACAGTTCTAATTCTTCTGCCCTACCAACTTTCCCCCCTTATAATGGCAATAGAAACAATGGGAATAATTCCAGGGAAGAACGAATGGGTAAATTAACCTTTTATCTTCTTTTCAGTCACCTGCTAGTATCCACACAACATTCTTTTGTTGTTTTCATTCCCAACCAGGCCTCAAGACTGGAAATTAGTTTAGTGATTCTAGGGAAAACAGGGGAAGTTTTCCAGAACATAAAAGCCATACAGGAGCAGACCAATGGTCCATCCAGTCCAGCATACCGCTTACTTAGTGGTAAACTGGCTGCCCACAGGATCCCTCATGCAGGATACTGCCTGCCCTAGCTGTACACAGAGACCAAGGTAGCATTTAGCCAGCAAGACTATCAAGTAGTCCTTGATAGCCTTCTCCATGAATTTTTCCAATCCCCTTTTTAAAGCCATCCCAACTGGTGGCCATCACTGCTTCCTGTGGCAGTGCATCCCATAATTTTAATCATGTGTTGTGAGAAGTACTTTTATCCTCCCTGAATCTCCTATTATCCTGGAGTAATCCTGGCTTCTAGTATCACAAGAAAGGGAGGGGGGGGAAACTTTCTCTACACTATACATAATTTTAAACACCTCTATCGAATCTCCCATTTGCATTTTTCTAAGCTCAACAATCCCATTTGTAACCATTCCTTATTTTGGAATTGCTCCAACTCCTTCAGTATTTTTCTTGCCCTTCTTTGGTTTCTTTCCAGATTTTCAGGGGAAAAAAGATGTCTTTTTCAGGAGCAGCAACCAGAACTATATACAATATTTTAAGAGTGATTACACCAAAGATTTGTATACAATCTTGGTAGTTTTAATTCCTTTCAAATTATACTTAACATGAAGTTTGCATTTTTCATAGCAGCCACACACTGGGCCAACATTTTTATCAAGCTGTTCTTCACAACCCCCAGGTCCCTTTCTTCTTCAATCACTGCTAGCTCAGATCCCATTGGCCTATACTCTATATTTGTTTGCCACAACATGCATTATTTTAAACATTCTTACATTGAAATGCACTTGCCATTTTGATGCCCAGTCTCCCAGCTTGGACAGATCCCTTTGGTAATTCTCACAGTCTCTTCTGGTTTTAACCACCCAAATAGTTTGATTCCATCAGTAAATTAGGCCACTTCACTGTTTGCTTCTAATTCTAGATCATGTATGAATGGGCTGAAGAGCAGTGGTTCTAACAGTAACCTCATGGGACCTCAGTGGTTGGAGAAATTATTTATTCCCACTCTCTGCTTTCTATTACTGACCTATAAGAGGATCCCTTCTTTATACCATGTTTGCTAACTTTGCTGAGGAGTCCCTGGTGAGGGACTTTGTCAAAAGCCTTTTGGAAGTCTAAGTGAACAATGTCTACCAGATTATCCTGTCCCTGTGCTTACTGAAACTTTCAATCAGTTAGTGAAACAGGACATGCCTTTGCAGAAGCCATGTTGAATCTTTTTCAGCAGGGCTTTTCCCTCTGTGAGCTATTGATTGTGTCTTTAATAACACTTTCAACCAGTTTACTCAGAACAGATGTTAAGCTAAGTGGACTGTATTTGCTTGGATCCCCCTGGACCCCTTTTAAAAATTGCTGTTACATTGGCCATTCTCCAGTCCTCTGGTACTGAGGCTGATCTTAAGACCATGTTAAGTACTTTGGAAAGAAGGTCAGCAATTTCATATTTTAGCTCATTAAGAACTCTTGGGTGGAAACCTTCTAGCCCTGATGATTTATTAACTTTCAGTTTGTCAGTAAGATTGAGAATTTCATATTTGGTCACTACTCCCTGGCTTAATCTTCAGACTTTCTCTCTGTATACCTAAGTTCATGAATACCAATCTGCTCTCCATCATCTGCTGTGAAGGCAGGAGAATCAATAAGACCAGGGAAGCTTTATGTCCATCCAGTCAGTCCTCTCCTTTCAGGGCCCTGCCCCTACTTTGGTCTTGGCAAATGCAGGCCTAAGGTCATTAATCTTTTGCTGATTAAAGTTCTGGTTCCACCTTCAGAAAACAAGAGTTTGTTACATTTGAAGGGCAGGACTGAAGTGAGGTTTTTTCCAACCCACAACTGACACTCTGAATCTGACACATATGTTTAGACTCAGGGCATAACTTAAAGGCTATGATGCAGAACCTTGGTGAAGCCAAGCATTTTGGGATGGCTAAGTGCTTACATGGGAGTTTGACTGCATATTCTTTGGAGGTTTTCTTGGGCCCCGTGATGGAAGAAGGCAAGATACAGTAATCAGATAGAGGTCAGTGGGACTTAACTTTTTAAGAAAGCAACTAGATTAGCCTTCCTCAACTCAATGTCCTTCAGATGTCTTATACTGCTACTCCCATAATTCCCAGCCTCACATACAGTATTAGCTTTCTAATACTGAAAACTGAATTGCAAAAGGTTTTTCCTAGGGCATTTATCAAAACAAAGCTAGTTTTCTCAGAACTGTAGAATATTTATAATAAACTGTGCTGCATCAAGCAACATTATCTAACCCATTAAAACACACACATA